CTGGCTTTGCTTATGTGTTGGTCTGGAATATTTCTCAAACCCCCTCCCCCCCCCCACTTCCTCAAAGTTTGTTTATTTATTGACTCGTTTCTTCATTCGTGCTTTCGTTCAAAATATATTTTTATCCTGTCTTTCCGCCTCACCTTCAGAGTTTGTTTCCTCCCTTATTTATTTATGTATATTTACTTGTTTATTTATTATATTTTACTTTGCCTTCCCCTCCCCTTGAGGTTTATTTACTTATTTATTCATTCATTTATGTATAATATTTTGCCCTGCTTCCCCCCCTTAACATTCATTTATTGTTTGTTCATTTTTCACCCTTTCTCCCCTTAAATACTTACTTACTTACTTACTTACTTACTTACTTACTTACTTACTTACTTACTTACTTACTTACTTACTTACTTACTTACTTACTTACTTACTTACTTACTTACTTACTTACTTACTTACTTACTTACTTACTTACTTACTTACTTACTTACTTACTTACTTACTTACTTACTTACTTACTTACTTACTTACTTACTTACTTACTTACTTACTTACTTACTTTTCTCTATATTATAAAAGCCTTTGGTCAGAAACAGAGATAGATTAATTTTTGTACAGTATTTCATAACGTGAGCCGTTGTGGACAAGGCCACTTCATCAGACATTATGATGGATTGCTTTTTATAACACCCATCTGACCAATTATGGCTGGACAATTCAAAGAAAATAACAAAAATAAATGTGATATGATCAAGGGCATAAATTAGCAAATTAAACTGAATAATAAACATTTTGAACTGGTCCATCAACCGAGGCCACACATTTTTTGGGGGGGAAGTGGCTTCAATTACGAGCCAAAACGTAACTTTAAAGGGGGTTAGGTTAAATATATCACATGTAGGATTTCCTAGTGAAATAGGGGACCAGGTCTTTGATCTTTCAGATGCAGAAATAGGCTTGTTGGCTTGTTTTAGACCATTTCTATGTTGTTTCTGATTTTCATGGGGCTGCAGAGCTGTCTCCCTCAAAACAACAAGGTGGTCTGTATAGGAGAAGGTGACCCCCACACACACACATCTTGTTTTCATCTGTGTCGGCCACCCCAGACTTTACCTTCCGAGGGACAGAGACAAACTGGAGGCATTCAGTCTGGCTTGGTATCCGATTGGGACCCTGGCACTGACCCCCACCCCGGTTTTGTTTGTTTTCCTCAGGATGGACCAGCGTTTCACCTGAAAAGGACTGGCTTTGCGGGCCTTGCTCCCCTGCTAAGATGTTCCTCGTGAACCCCTCTCCTTTGGTGGCCCTTCCGAGGAAATGGGAGCCCTTCCCCCATTCTAGAAGCTGCCGGTACCCCATTTGCTTCTCCGAGTCCGAAGATGACCTTGCCAGAACGAGCGTCAGCGCCAAGGTTCAGATGATCATAAACAACCTGCAAAGCGAAGAGGCATCCCGGAGCAGCAGCAACCATGCCTACGGGCGCCTTCTGCAGAAAAAAACCAAGGGAGGAAAAGGCAGAGGCCCCAAACCCAGAGGTGGCGTCAAAACATTGCAAGGGCGCCTTAAATACACCCGGCAGAACTGCCCGGCTGACTCCGATGGCATGGAAGTGGAGGAAAACTCGGAATATGCGCCCCTCTCGTTGATCTCCGACAGTGACGATTCTGTGGACAGAGACATAGAGGAAGCCATTCAAGAGTACCTGAAAAGCAAGGGCCAGAGTGTGCCGCCGCTGGGAAGCCACGCCAAGAGAGAAGTAGGAGAGAAGCAGGCCCAGCAGCGACACCCGCCACATGACCCTGTCTGTAGTGTGTTTCGTGCAACTGTTGAGACAGCCGGGATCCTGCAGCAGCAGCAGGCTTCTGAGCACTCCGAAGACGATGGCACCAAATGGGCTCCCTCTCCTTCCAGTGTGAGCAGCGACGATTCTTTTGAGCAAAGCATAAAAGCCGAGATCGAGCAATTCTTAAGTGAGAAGAAGCAGCAAGGAAGGAGGAGGGATGTAACCGCGGGGAATAAGCGATTTGATCGAAAAGAGACCCAAGGAAAGCCAACAGTCAGGCGTCAGAAGGGGAAGACTCGCGGGGGCAGCCAAAGTTCTCTGAGGGGAGGGCGGAAATTACTCTGTGCAGAGCAGCACCCTGAACCACAAGGCACCAGGGTTTCTAAATGTTTGAAGTCAAAATCCAGCGACGAGCTTGCAGACTTCAAAACGAGAAGCCGGGCACGCTTCAAAACATCCTTGGCTGGCCGTTCCCTGGAACAAAGCGAAGTAGGTGAGAAAAGGCAAACGCCTTGGAAAGCCAGAGGCAGACAAAGGCTTGAAAGCAAAAATCCGTCTGATTCGAGCAGCGACGATGGCATCGAAGAAGCTATTCAGCTGTACCAGCTTGAGAAAGTCCGGAAAGCAGCAGTCGCCCAAAGAGAATGCCTCTCTTTTCAGAACGGAGAGTACCAGCCGAGTTTGGTAGAAGACAGAACTGCGAGCCTGGCCGTCCCTTCGGTGAAAAGTGCCTTGCCAGAAATCCGGAGGAAAACTCTACGCAGAAAGAGGAGGCCGGTCCTTTCGAAGCCGGCAGAGCTAAACAGGAGGACCCTGATTTGTCACGAGCTGCAGAAAGGCACAAGCTGTACCCCTCCAGAAAATAACCGGGACAAACGTGCAGTCTTGCTCCACACCTATTGTCGAGCAGACACTGCCGCGGAGTTGATGTGCGCAGAAGCTATCCTGGACATTTCAAAAACCATCCTGCCTCCCCCTGCGAGAAGTGAGAGCAGATCCTTTGCAACAGAACCGGTCTTCTGTCCCCAGAACGGGCCAGCCACTCTGCCGGAGAGTGACAGCAATGCTGTGGACAGTGATGATAGCATTGAACAAGAGATACAAGCCTTTTTGGCTGTCAAAGCACAGACGGAGCGCTTGGTAGCAAAATCCAAGGAGGCCTCGCACTCTGGCCATAGCCCTCCGTCCTCGAGTCAACCTGACAAACAGGCCCGAAGCGCCAAGCGTCCGTGGCCCAAACCGATGAAACTGTCCCCGAGTGGGAAAAGGAGGTGTAAAGAAGACAGCAAAATGTCCGTGCCCCGCCCAGCCGGACCGTGGATACAGCCAGAAACAGATGGTGGCTCTATGGATGATATCAATTCAAAATACTCTGCGGCTGAGCAAGGGAAGGAAGGTGACGCCGCAGGAGTGGCTCCGCGCCAAGAAGACGCGCTAGTCCCTATCAGTCCTAGAGATGCTGCAAATCCTTTCTCTTGGGGGCTGTTTAGTTCTAGAAACCTTGTGAAAAAGACAACACCCAACCCACTGAAATACAGGGCAGGTGACAAGAGCAGCTCCTTGGACAGTGACGAGGATCTGGATAGCGCTATCAAAGACCTCCTGCGGTCTAAGAGGAAGCAGAAGAAAAAAGCCAAAGACCCAAGAACTCAGTGTAAGAAAAAAGTCAGGTTTGGTGGTACGGAAACGATGCACGTTCTTGAGGAGAAAGAAAAAGCCTGCAGACCCAAAACCCCACCCTTGCTAAAAAGCTGCCTTGTAGGTTGTAGAAGAGAGATGAACGAGGAAGATGCAGAGGAAACGCCTGAGAGCACTGCCGAGGGGAAATTAAAAGACGCAAAAACCGTACACGTTGCATATTATGGGTTTAAAGAAGAGGACGACCAGATGAAACCATTTTCTGGGCCAGACACCAAGGATTTCTCCAAATATCCTCAAAGCCCATGGACGGCTGGATCTTTGACCGATGACAGCAGCTCCGTCGACAGTGATGACAGCATTGAGCAAGAAATTCAGAGGTTTTTGGCCGAAAAGGCTAAAGACTCCACTTGTTCCATGGAGACACCTGGGCCCAATGCAGTTGCTGAGACCTTAGAAACCGATAAACCCCAGAACTCTCTACCTAAAGCTAAGTGCCAGGGCAGTTCCCTGTCAAAACAGAGGAGAAAAGTGAACAAGAGGTGTCAGCCCTTTATTGGGTTAAGAGGCTCCCAAAGATCTGGGAAGAAAACTGGGGGAAGCGCTTCCCTTGATGGTGCACAAACAGTAACATACGCGGGAGATACATGGAGCCATGCGACGGTCACATTGGAGGCACGCCAAGGACTCGGTCTAGCACAAGATGTGGGCTCACCTCTACAAAGGACTGTGGTAGAGGGCAAGGTTATCTGCGGCGGCAAACCTGGTCAGAGAGATCTACCTCCAAAGGAGAAAGCCGCGGGTCCTACACTGCAAAGTTGTTTTAAGTCCCTGTGTCCTTTAAAAAGAAAGCCCACCATGTGTGAGTTCAAAATCTCCAGCAAGTTCATCGCAGGCCTTAGAAGCACTCGGTCTAAGAAGAAAGCTATGCTGTGGGGAAAAAGGCAGAGCACAGACTCTGCATTGCTCAAGAGACAAAGCGGTGTGGCCGCCTCGGATCGGTGCAGAGAGAGTTATGAAAAGGCCGTGAAGAGAGGGACCCGATCTTCCGGGAGCGAGGCAGGCGCAGAAGAAGCAGGATTCTCTCCGAGGTGTGGTGCAGAAGGGTCGCACACCTCTGTATCAGAAAGGAATGTTAAAATGCAGGTCACCGCTTTATGCAACGAAATGGTGGATCTAGCCAAACTTTGGCCTTTGGGGGTCGAAGGGCCTTGCAGCTGGGGGAATGCCAGCCACGGCTCTCCGTCAGAAGAGCCTCCGGCTGATGTAGGAAGGGTCAGCATCAGTACAGGACTATCTCCGGTTGAAATCCCCAGCAAGGAAGAGACAGGGAGAGTCCAGGAGCCCCTCACAAGTGGGAGGGAAGGGAAGGTCCCCAACTGCATTTGTGACTCATCGCCAAGAGAGAAATCAGGGCTCGACCAAGGCAGGGCAGCCGAAGAACCAACCCTTAAAGCTTTAGAAGGAGGCTCTGCAGAATTTACAGACAGGGTGGTGGAGGAGTACGCACGCTGTTTAGTGAAAAGCAAAGCTTCCAATTTGTAAGTCCTTTTAATTTTTATAGCGTTGTTTGTTTTCAAAGGCGGTTCAGAAAAGGAGCTGCCTCCTAAGTCCTCTTCACACTGACGCTGCGATTAATCTTCCCTAAAGGTCTTTTCCACATGGAGATTAATATCTGTGCCACGAGTAAAGCCGCCCATCCTGTCGGGGTCTCCAAAGCACCCGAAGCAGAAAGAGAACTGGGGAGAATCCTGATCGGTTCCTGGATCCACCCGCACGCCGATGACGAAAAATGTGTCTCCTGTTACCTGTTTATGGGAAGGGTGTGGGAGGTGCCTCTTCCAGCATGGCGTTTTGAAATTACTTGAAAACTGCTGTAGGGAAATCTTTTTGAACCAACGTACGGGAGCATGCCTGACGTGTCTCCCTCAGTGCACCATGGAGATAACTGGGGTCTCTTATCCTTTAAAATTAAACGACGACACACTTAAGAGTAGAAAACACAAATAGTGCCTCCCAGCAGCGTCAGTCATAGGTGAAAGAAATCTTGCACAACAGGTGGAGCTGACTTAATTGGGCCAATTGCTGTTGGATGTGCCACAGAATTGAAGCTAATATCAGATATATCCCCCTTTCTCTGATTTCTGGCTTCTTCCTCTCCTGTATTTATGGAATAGTAAGGTCTCCTCATTCACCTCAATCCAGAGAGCTCCATGCACATAATCTACCATAGGACCCCCGTATCTGCGGGGTATGGGCTCCAAGCCCCACTGCCGCAAATGCTGAAAAACGCATCCATAACATGGTCTCTGGCTCCCTTCACCAGTTCTGATCGTTTTAGAAACAAATATTTCTAGGATTGTTCTTTTAATATTTTTAATATTTCCAGATCCTTACTAAGTGAATCCGCGGATACTGATCCCGCGGTTACAGGAGTCCTGCTGTAGTACTGCCATAGTCAGGAACAGGATGCCATGGGGAGTGTGGGCCATCCATCTTTTTCCAGGAGAGGTTAGGCTGATGTCATTTCCTGCTGCTTGGCTCAAAGGCCCCGTGTGAATTCAGAAAAGCAGTTCCCTGTTCAGAACTGGGAGCCCGCCTTGTGCATTTCAAGTGGCATTATATGTTGTTTTATTTTTAATGCTACATTTCCAAGGTTAAAATGTTCTTCTAGATATCTTACTAGTCTGTCCTCAGTGTGAATTCTGCTGGACATCTGTTGAATCAACCTGAATGTTTAAAAAGAGGGGGTTCCCTCTTGGGAGGTTGGGGGAGGGTGGGCGTGGAAACCCCCCCCTTTGCGTTAATTCATTTTTTTGTTCAGTCGCAGTCATCTGTAGCTTGTGAGTTCAATGCTGTCTGACTGAAGAAGCACTTTTTAAATTAAGAAAATCTTTTTTGTATATAAGAAACGATGTACATTCATACATTTATAAGATTTAATAAACTGGGTTCGGTTCATGAACCATGAAATCGAGATGGATTCTAAGTCATTTTATTTATTTAAATTTGAATAAGTAAAATAAATGAATTAGTTTCTCCTAATGCAGGCGTTTGTTTCCCAAAGCTGCTTTTCCTACTTGGGCTCGGATGTTTGCACAGAGAAAGGTAACGCATGCGTAGAAACCATCGGAATCTATCTGGGCAACGGTCCTCATACTAAGTAATATTTTGCAATTTTATGGTGCTTTAGACACAAGGAGAAAATACTAGAGATGGACATGGTAAGAGATAAAAGATCACCCTCGCCCCACTGCTAACTCTTTTAAAATTCCCAGAGAGGTGAACATCGTTGGGGTGTGTGTGTGATAGTGACAAACTCACCGACATCTCTCATGTCGTCTGCCCCCAGCCCCCTCCCCACCTTGCCTCGGAAGGCTTCAAGAAACAATAGTGTCTTTATTTTTTTCCTAAAGGACAAGGTTTTTAAGAGGGGAGCCAAGCCACAAATCATACAGAAGCTGGAGTGGCAGAAGACCCAAGGCTGAACCCGGCCTCCCACGCACTCCGAAGGCTGGTCTTCTGGGACTCGAGAGGCACAGTGGAGAAAACTAAACCCTACAAACCGACTGGGTTTGGTTGAGTGCAAGGCACCTGGTAAGCCATTTGGCATCTTTCTCAGGCACCCTTTGTGCCCATAGGTGCCACGTGGAGAAAATCCACAGAACAGGTGGAGCTGCCTTAGGCAGGTTCTGGGCCAGAATCCTTCCCCAGCCTTACCAGGAGATAGATAGCAACAGGCACCCATCCTGGCTCTCCTGCATCCAGAAAGCCGAACAGCACGCAGAGACTCCAGGAGCTCCAGAACGGGTAATGATAGGTGAGGCTTCTGCTCAACATAAAGGCAGGTTTTATTAGCAGAGATAGCTGTGTGTCGTCCCCCCCCCCCGGGGAGGGGGGGCAACATGTTACAAGCATCCTTGCGGGAGTCTGGGAGCACATTCCGGGAGGATTTCCCCGACAAGCCATGGGAGAGAAAGATTGCAACCGAAAGACCGTGGAAAACGATGCGTTCCAAGCTCCTCTCAGAGGAAGAAAACCAGGAGGAAGCCGCGGGAAGGAAGGAGAAGCGGGGGGGCACACAAACACACACACCCCCGGCGTCTCCTACTCACAGAAGGACGGGCCACCCGTTCGGTAGCTGGGGTGGAAGTTGTACGTGTCGAAGGCGGTGATGAGGTTGTCGGGACCGGTCACGTCGCTTTTCTCCACGAAGGTGTTGATCCCGTTGTTCCGGTACATGCCGAACTTGATCAGCGTGTCCGAGAAGGCGTGCGGACTGGTGTGGAAACAGGTCTGTGGAGGAGATATATATATATAACACGAGAGAGGAACGGCGTTACCCGCCCGACTCGGGGGCCCATAACCTCTCCTCGCCTGCCCCAATGATGGGGACCAAAGGTGCTTTCGACGGAGCCCCCTGATCCAACCCCAAGAAGAGAGGGGGGTCTCAGATGCAGTAGGAAGATTTGGGGCCAGGAGAAATATTCGGAGCCTGACTCTGTAACAGAACAACACAGAAGGACTCTTAAAGGTTATGCATGCAAGGGTTCTTGCAAGATTTGCACGCAGGCCCCAGATTTCCGGAATGCATCCAGAAACCTTGCACCGCCTAACGCGACGACTCCCTCGTTTACCGGCATCTCGTGAACGGTGGGCGGTTTCCTGCCGTAGTCCATGTTGGTGGTCCAGAACAACGGGTTGCGCTCTTTCACTCTGAAAAAGACCAGAGCATCCATCGGTCGACCCGGGTGAACAGCCGCGGGACTTATAAAAGCCTACCTGGGATTCGAACTCCGTTCCACAGCTCCAAGGGAGGAGAGAGGAAAAAGCTATGATTCTGGTTCCTTATAAAAGCCTACCTGGGATTCGAACTCTGTTCCGCAGCTCCACGGGAGGAGAGAGGAAAAGGCAAATGAGGCAAATGCGCAAATGAGGCTGGACCGCTCTGCAGAGCTGTTGGACGCATTATTTTTAAAAATTATATATGCACTGTATTGATCTTTGTCTTAATACTATTATAAAAGCCTACCTGGGATTCGAACTCTGTTCCGCAGCTCCACGGGAGGAGAGAGGAAAAGGCAAATGAGGCAAATGCGCAAATGAGGCTGGACCGCTCTGCAGAGCTGTTGGACGCATTATTTTTAAAAATTATATATGCACTGTATTGATCTTTGTCTTAATACTACCCATTAATATGTGCAAATGAGGCTGGACCGCCCTGCAGAGCTGTCAGATGCATTCTTTTTTAAAAATTATATATGTACTGTATTAACACTGCCCATTAATAGTATAAAAAGTCTCCTTGTTCATCGTTTTAAATATCATTTTTTCATGATGTTGACCACTCCTTGTATACTCTAAAATTTAACGAATTGTCTTTGATGTTCGTAAGCCACCTCCAGTCCTTTTCAAGGAGAAACGTGGGATAAAAAAACCATTTAAAATAAATAAATTGTGCGTCCGGCCAACAGATAAAATCGCTTTTCAATGTTCTCTTGCCCCCCCCAACCCACTTACCTGTAGCCCCGAAACATCCCTGGGTGGTTGAAGCGGGAGGGCAGGTTGGGGTCAACGCGGTAGAAGTCGCTGGTCCTCATCTGCCCGGTCTTCTCCTCCTCCCCTCTGTCATCATCCTCCTCCTTCTTCTGCTGCTGCTGGGGGGCTAGGGGGCCTTCTGGGCCAGGCGCTTCTCCCTGGGACATGATGGGGGGGGGAGGCGGACAGGACCCAGCAGTCAGGGCACCTCCGAGGGCCGGCTGGAGGATGGATGGATGGATGGACGGGGTGGCGGGGAGTTCCCCGGGGGGTTGCTAGGAGACGGGCGCTCGCAAAGAAACAGCCCCAGGGTTGCCCCGGAGACCGCCCCCCCCGCTTGCACAAGCCTGGTGAAAACGCTTGTGAATAGAAGAGGCGCAACCCCTACAACAGTTCGAGTCCCGCCTCCCGGGCAGGGGCTGGACCCGATGACCCCGAGGGTTCCCCCCCCCCGCGTTGTCCAGCTCGGCCCTTCGAAGGTGATGAGGATGA